ACAGAGACCTGGCTCTAAATGAGTATTTGTTGGTTGAATTAATGAATGAGGCAAGTGAGGCTGTTTGTCTCAGAGACTGTTAGATTTGTCTTAATTTCTCATTCTCAGAGTAGAATGGAGATTAGAACTTTCTGATTTCTAGTCGGTTGCTCTTAACATTGTATTATACGGCCACTCAAAACAGTGTTTATAGTTGGATGCATACTTTGTTTAAATATACTTTACCTTATTCTATATCACAGACCATTAACCCTACTTTGCTTTTTTCCTCCTAATGTAGATGCCAGAAGAAGAAGCTTTCTGTGTATTTGTTAAATTAATGCAAGATTATAGACTTCGTGAACTTTTTAAACCAAGTATGGCAGAATTGGGCCTTTGTATGTACCAGTTTGAATGCATGATACAGGTAAAAGTGTAGTTAATATTAATAAAAAGGAATATTGCTTTTATATTTTACGTCATCGGTTTGAGTGACAGCTAAGCAAATTTAATGTTAAAGGCATTAAAGCAATTGAAAAAATTAGTGTTTTAATCACATGATTATTTTTTGGTCAATTACACAATTTAGACCTACTTTCCATTTAGTCACTGTCTGCAGATATCTGCATGATCACAGTCTGGAACTTGACTGCATTTTTAATATTTTAACCTTAAGCATATGTGCCAAATGTATCATAACCCCATTACTTAAATGCATGAGTTTTTATCATGCCCTGTTGTATTCTATTATTGTTATGTAGAGTATGCTCTCTTTCAGTAGCCTGTGATATTATGACACTGACTTCAGTTCATTTCCTTTGAGATTGTCTCTTCAGTTTCAATCCTCTCCCTTTCCTTTTTCTTTTTATCTCATGTTTTGCCTGTAATCTTTTTAAATAATAATGTTTCAATCCTTTAAATTGCTAGTTTAAGACACAGAGTCTAGTTACTGCATGAGTTGAGGAGAGGAGTTAAAATTAAGTTAAAAATATCTTTGAAATATTTTACCTTTCTTGATTTAATTTTTATATTTTATATGTAAATAAGTTTACTGTATTGTCCTGTAAAATAATGTTGTAAACATTCTTATTTACTTAAATGTCACTTAGATGAGCAAAATTTAAGAATCTAGTTAATGATTCAGCTGGCTTGAGACCCATTTTTATGAGTCTCCTTTTCCCTGGCAGCCTTACCCCTGGGAATTTTTTAATCCTCTGACTTTTCTATGTGTGGTGGGAGAAGGGGATATGCAAAATGTTTTTACATTTGAAACAAAAGTGAAAAGTAGGTCTGAGATGATTCTTAAATTCTTTTTCTGAAATAGTAAGCTTGTTTTTATCAACCCTGAAACTCTCTTGGTTTATTTTTGGTTAATATGTCACTTATGTTTTGAATTACTAGAGTTGCTGAAGTATCTGTACTTTTGGTGAGATGGTAGGAAGGTAAGGATAAGGTGGTCAGTGGTAGATAGCACCTGAAGGTATTTCAACATAGCATTTCTTTACTTTTTAAAAAAATTTTTGAAATATTATAGTTTATAAAAACTATCAGATACCCATCTACCCACCAATACGATTAAACAAATTTAAAAGTTTTACTTGCTTTATTTCTTATGAATAAATCAAATGTTATAGATACAGCCAAAGTCCTAACTCCACATTCTTGTCTGCTTTTTCCCTTCCTACATAGTAACCACTATCCTGAATGTATCAATTTCTGCATCTTAGCTTTTCCATTTGGTGCCTGATCTTATCTTTGTGTTTGGTATAGGCTAATCTAGTGTATATACAATGATCTGGTTTAAAATAATCAATTTTACTATGTTTTAACTAATTCTTTTTTTCTCTTTAGGAGCATCTTCCAGAGCTCTTTGTACATTTTCAGTCTCAGAGTTTTCATACCTCAATGTATGCATCATCCTGGTTTCTGACTATCTTTCTTACGACATTTCCACTACCAATTGCAACAAGGATATTTGATATCTTTATGTCTGAGGTAAGCAAATGGGCAGACTGAGCAAGGAGTCATTGGGTTAATTAGAGCAGGGCAATGAGAACAACAAGAGACCAATGTGTCCCATGCTAAACTGCTTACATATATAATCTCGTTGAAACCTGTAACAACCCTAGCAGGTACTGTTTGTTTCCCCATTTGATAGATGAGGGAGCTGTGATTTAGAGAAATGTTAAGTAGCTAGCTTGTCTATGGACACAGCATATAAGTGGTATAGGATTCAAATCTAGGCAGTCAAAGTCTGGAGCCTACGCTCTTAAACTTCAGTATCACCTCTTGATTGATTTAGTGAGAATTAGTGAGAGATAAAATTTGCCTTATAGTTAATATTTGTCATGCATTTATTATCTAAAGAGCAAGAAGTAATGAGTATAATTTTCTTGTATTCCATGAACACATTAGAGATAGTCCTTTTAATTGTTGTTGACATGTACTAGTGATCCTTTGTCTTCTGTATTTTGGATGAGAAGGTAGGAAGGTAAGGATAGGTGACCTGAAAGTATTATTAATTGTTATTAATTACATCTTAATCAAACCCAATGTTAATTGTTATTAATTACATCTTGGGAAGATGAATTTGTATTACCTAGCTAAATTAATTTAGCCTGGAGCCAGCAAACTGTGATTCGAGTACTGGTTCACATACCAAATTTGTCCTTCCTCTTGTTTTTGTAAATAAAGTTTTCTTGGAACACAGTCATGCCCATTTACGTGTTATCTTTGTCTATTTTGGGGCTACCATGGCGGAATTGAGTATTTGTGAGTGCGACAATATGCCTCACAAAGCCTAAAGTATTTTCTATCCAACTCTTTACAGAAAATATTTACCAACCTCTAGTTTAAATATCTAAGTATTTATTATTCTTTTGAATGATTAGTTTTTGTTGATGGAAGAGTAAGATAAATTTGACTTTAAATAATTTGTTTTCTCAGGGTTTAGAAATAGTGTTTCGAGTAGGATTAGCACTTCTTCAAATGAATCAGGCAGAACTGATGCAACTCGACATGGAAGGAATGTTACAGGTAAGTCAGTGCATGATTTTTTTGAATGTCTTTAGATTTTACTATTAATTAATAAGCAGCACTAAGTAGTTCTTATGTTTTTCTTTCATTGTTTCTTAGCACTTTCAGAAGGTCATCCCACATCAGTTTGACGGTGGTCCAGACAAATTAATCCAGGCAGCTTACCAAGTCAAGTATAACTCAAAAAAAATGAAAAAGTAAGTATTTTATATTTTGGTTTTTAGCTATAGGGGTTTATTGAAACCTATAGGAAATTAAATAGAAGTTATAAAACATTCTAACAAGTGCAATGTTCCTTCTCAGTTTATAGAACTGTAGTATTTTATTTGGTGGTAATGGTTTCAGTATAACAAATTTAATGTTGGAATTTCATACTGCTCATAATAGCAGTGCCTGGGACCATGTGGATTACCTGTAAACCACCCCCCTTCCCATTCCACATTGATTGGAATTAGAGACCTTGTAAGTACACTGAGGGTGCCAAAACAATGTATACAAGTGGACACTTCGTCGACGTTGCTCAAGCAGTAGTTCGCCATAATCAGAAGTGTCTCGACGCTGATGGTAACCACTTTGAGCACCGCTTGTAATTGCAGAAGTCAAACATGACTTGTATTCATCTTTTGTTGTCGGTATATATTGAGTATTACAATTTTAATACAGTTTTCCTTTCTTAAAATGTGTATACATTTTTTTGGCACCCTCTGTATATGGGTGTGCTATTATTTTAAAAACTACTTTTATGGTGTGGTCCAATTACTGAATTCTTTTCCTCTCAGTTGACCCCAGACTGTCACTTAAATTCAAGATTAGCATAACCAGCAAGAAAGACTTGAAGTATGGATTAAGAACTTAAGTTTTTATTTATTGTGTATTACTTTGTAAGGAAACTTTTCTTCGCATATATTTCATTAAAGTTTAAGATAAGGAGTCTTGGTTCATAAATATTAATTTTTGAAATATGTAAAAGTGTTAATTAAGAATGACAGCTCTTATTCTTCTAGCTTTTAGTACTTAAATAAATCTTAGCCTGAGGTCATCATAGTTAGCATTTCTGACACTAGTTTCTATGGTTATAAGATGCTTTAAAATGATAATGGTATTATATGCTAGCAGTTCTCAATATCTTTGCTGATGCAACTCGAAATTACATTAACATGTAGGACATACTCCTATGGATGTTCCTATTCTAGATTAGAATGTGAGTGATAATTATGTTATTAAAATTAGTTGCAAAAGCAAGTCAATTTATGAACTTCAACTATTATTGTTAATAAACTACTTGTGAAATTTCTAATAACCAAGCACATTACATTGTCATGTTGAGACATTATAGACCAAAAAAGCTGATCTTTGCTGTAACTGATAAAAACTTTAAAGAACCATCTCAATTTCTGCCTCTTGGTAAAACCACATTTAAAAAAGCCAGAAAGTGAATTTATTTTACTTTAAAAAAGACTAATAGAAAGCAAGGTAAGATTTTCTTTTTAGATGTTATTTATCACCAGTTGATCCTATTTCTGATATTACAGTTATCCTACTTATCAAACTTCTGACTCTCTAGTTCTTTGACTCCCTTACTCATATTGTATGTGTTCTGCTTTATCAGGATCCCTAGCCTGATGCTTAATAGCCTTCTGGTCTGAAAAAGTATATCTTCTCTGATGTTTTGTACTCATGTAGCCAAGTATTGGAGAAAACTGCATAGTTGTGAGGTTGCTGGCAGTAAGTTGTATCTCCAGTGCCACCCCATGTATATTTTTATTGACCTTGATTGATTCTCTCATTCCCTACAGTGATTATTTCAAACCATATAGTTCTTCTCAAGATCCCATCCCCATTTTGCCACATATCTAGCTCTTCAGCAGATTACCTTACTTCTTAATTCATTAGCCATCATTTTTAAACTTTCTGAATTTTTTTTCCTGTAACTTCCAACTTGCAGACTTAGCCATATTTCTTTTCTTCCCTTTTCAGTATTTCTGTTCCTTTGTAATGATAAATCAGAATACAGGACGTTTTTCATTCTCATCTCTTCCAGATCCTTGCTCCGTTAATTGTTCCTTCTGTTTTTTATCTTCAACCCCTTTTTCTATTGTTCATTTTCTCCAACATAGAAAAAAATCATTTTGGAATTCTGACTTACAAGCAACAAAAACAAAACCTTCCTCAATATAGCATTTCATTCTCCTTTCATGAAGCTTAATTGTAAAGGAAACAGTTTATACTCATTAGCTCCAGATCATATTTCATCGACCATTTTTTCAATTATGAGATTTTTCAAATATACAGAAAAAATAGAGAGACTAGAATAATAGATATCCATATGTTTATCACCTAGATTTAACAGTTAATATTTTGTTGTATTTCCTTTTTGTGTTTTCTTTTTTAGGTATTTCAAAGTAAATTACAGAAATCATGACATTTCACTCTTTAATTCTTTAGTATTCATCTTTATAATATAAAGGCATTTGCCTCCCTTACTACATTGCTTTTACTACTTAACAATAATTCTATGATATTGTCTAATACCGTCTATGTTCACATTTCCCCAGTTGTGCCAAAAATGTCTTTTACCATTAGTTGCATTTCATTCAGCTGTTCTCCTATATTTCTTTTAATTTAGATCAATAATGCCCATTCCATATCTGCTTTTTAATATACTGACGTACAATAGAAGAGAGCAAGTTAGTTGTATGGAGAACATCCAGTCTTAAGGATTTACCTGATCATCCTCATGATGTAATTTAACTTCTTTATCCCTTGTGTTTTCTGTAAACTAGGAACTAAATTGAAAGGCTTAGTTGATGAAGCACAAACATATTGGCAAGAATATTTAATAGGTGATATTGTGTACTTCAAATTCACCTAAAGAAATACATAATGTCTGTCTGTCCCACTATTAGTGATGCCATAGAGGCCAAGCAGTGCAAAGGCCTGGGGCAGAAGTGTGCCTGGCATATTTGACAAGCACCATTGTGGCCAGGATGGTGGGAGCAGAGTGGGCCAAGAGGAGAGAGGTAGGAAGATGGGATAGAGAGGTAATGGGTTTTATAGACCTTGGGATAGACATTTGTTTTTATTTTGAGTAAGAGCAAAGGAAGGACTTCCATTTTAACAAAACCACATTGGCTGCTGTGTGGAGAATAGACATTGGAGGAGGTAGGGTGGATTCAGGGAGAGGAGTTAGTAAACTACTGAAATAATCCAGACTAGAGAATGATGAAAACTTGGATTAGGGTGGTAGTAGTTGAGATGTTAAGAAATCTTGTTTCCCAGTTGCAAATCAAATAGATGATTTTTATTCCTAATCACACTTGGCATACTAACCTCGGATGTGGGTAATCACTTCCTTTTTATTTATTTTTTTTTAGTTTTTAATTTTTTATTGATTTTATTGGGGTAACATTGGTTAATATTATGTAAGTTTCAGGTATACATTTTTATAAGACATCATCTGTAAATTGCATTGTGTG